GACATCCTTGGAACTCTAGGTTTCGAGACGCCCTGAGCTGAGGTGGTTAGACCACTTTCGCCTGAGACATCCTCGCAACTCTGACCTCAGAGATCTCCTGCACCATGCTGGTCAGGCCACTGTCGCCTGAGACATCCTCGCAAGTCTCGATTCCGATATGCCCCGAGCTGAGGTGGTCAGCCACTGTCGCCTGAGACATCCTCGCAACCCTGATCTCAATGATGCCCTGCTCGATAGTGTCTCGGCCCCTTTCGCCTGAGACATCCTCGGAACTCTGGGTTCCGAGACGCCCTGAGCTGAGGTGGTTAGACCACTTTCGCTTTAGACATCCTCGCCCGAGATGCCCTGAGTTGAGGTGTTCAGGCCATTTTCGCCTGAGACATCCTCGCAACTCTGACCTCAATGATGCCCTGCTCCATAGTGTCTCGGCCTTTTTCGCCTGAGACCCTCGCAACTCTGGGTTCCGAGATGCCCTGCCCCATGGTGGTCCGGCCACGCTTGCCTGAGACATCCTCGCAACTCTCGGTTGCGAAATGCCCCGAGCTCAGGTGGTCATGCCACTATCGCCTGCGACATCTCTGCGGCATGTGCGGGCATGTGCGTCCATGCTTTCAGAGTTTTGCTTGACCGTGCATTCGACTGTGCGTCGGACGGTGTGGCATGTGCGCGCATGTGCGGCAATGCTGTTGAGGCTTTTGCATATTTGCATGGGCATGTGCATGCGACTGTGCGGCATGTGCCTGCATGTGCGGCCCCTTCCGGACCACAATCTCCAAAGTGAGCACTATAGAAGTGAGCGCTATAGAAGTGAGTCCGGTGTAACCACCACTATCATCATCATGATGATCATCATCATCGCCACCACCATCATCATCACCCTTATCATCATGATAAGTGTTAGCATGAGTCCAGAGGAAGTCGCGAGGGGGAGCCTCTTGGGCGCCTCTAGCGGCCGGAATTTCGCTTCGTGTTCCATATTTTGGGTCCGTTTGGGGGCCGTCTTAGGGCCCTCTTGGGCCGTTTTGGGTGCCTCTTGGATCGTTGTGGGGCTTTCTTGGGCCGTTGTGGGGTCCTCTTTGAAGCCTCTTGGGCCATCTTGGGGCGGTCTTGGGAGCCTCTAGGGCCGTCTGGGAGCGCCGGAAGCCGAAAAAGCGAGAACGCCCAAATCCTTCAAAAGCTTACGGAACATCAATGATTCTGGCCTTTAGGGGCCCTCTTGGGAGGCCTCTTGGAGGCCTCTTTGGGCGTCTTTGAGACCTCTTGGGACGTCTGGGGGCCATCTTGAGCGTCTTGGAACGATCGTTCGGCGACTCGGCGCCTCCTTGGACCGTCTTGGGGGCTTCTTGGTGCCCTCTTGGCCCGTGTCTTGGCCTCGTGGGCCCGAAAAAGTCACGCGACAAGATGCGCTAAGGCCTAGGGGAACCGCGCCAAGCTCCAGGAGAGTTGTGAATTTGGGCTCCGGGCCCCTTAAAGACCACTCAGGAGCGTCCACTGAGGCTTAGAGGATTAGGCACAGGACCTGGGGACGCGCCCAGTCCGTGCCCAGCGCCACGGTGGCGGATAATTTCATTTCACCTAGAGGAATTACAAGTATGTGGGGTCATGGTGCTCAAGTGTCCAGCAGGAGCCCAGTTTTAAAGAAATGGGACGCCCTCCATCCGTGCAGCTGCTGCAACTTTTTCGACAGTGTGGTTATAAGAGTTATGAAAGTACAGTGCGGGATTTCCGTTTTGAAAACAGACCGTCATCATTGTAAGCTTGTGATAAGGAAAGATCCCGCATTGGGGGGAATTGCTACGACGAGTTTGCGCGGCGCTAAGACGAGAGCGGTGTTGTTGGAAACGATTGGCCCTCCATCCTTGGAATTGTTGGAGATGTTTAGCTTCAGGAAAAGAAGTTGTAGGGAAGCATCAAGGGACACGCCCAGCCCGACCTATGGATGCTTCAGGTTTAAAGGTGTGGAGGAGGATGAGAGATTGGGCGGGGGGGAGGAGTTCTTCTGCTTCTTCTTCGTCTTGTTTTTATTCATCTTATTTTTATTTCCCAACCATCCTGTGGTGTTGGGTCCTCGTTTTGAAGAGACGGTCCCCGCATTCCCTCCTCCCTTCCTTCCTTCCTCCTCCCCTCCTCCCACCTCCATCATCGCCGTCACCCCCCTCACTTTGGCACACCCCTCACACGTTTCGTGGCCCCATAGTAACTCCGCTGAAGGCCCCATTGGTACCGTTTGCGTGCGCTTCGTGGCCCCATAGGGGCTCCGCCGAAGGTCCCAGTGGTGGGGCCGTTCGCATACGTCCCCGTTGCCCACTTCGGCGCGCCCCTCGCACGCTTCGTAGCCCCATTGGAGCTCCGCTGAAGGTCCCAGTGGTGCCGTTCGCATGCGTCCCCGCCACCCATTTCGGCACGCCCCTCACATGTTTCGCGGCCTCGCCGAAGTTCCCAATGACACAATTCGCATGCGTCCCCGCCACCCATTTTGGCACCCCTCACGCGTTTCGTGGCCACCTAGGAGGTCCGCCGAAGGTCCCAGTGGCGCAGTTCGCACGCGTCCCCGCCATTCATGTCGGCGCACCCCTCACACGTTTGATGGCCCCGTAGGAGCTCCGCCGAAGGTCACAGTGGCACAGTTCGCACGCGTCCCCGCCATTCATATCGGCACATCCCTCACACGCTTCGTGGCCCCATCGGAGCTCCGCCGGAAGTTTCAGTGGCGCAGTTCGCATGCGCCCCGCCACCCACTACGGCCCCCCTCATACGTTTTATGGCCCGATAGGAGGTCCGCCGAAGGCCCCAGCAGCACAGTTCGCACGCGTCCCCGCCACAAATTTCGGCACGCCCCTCCCGCGCGCGTGGCCCCATAGGAGATCCGCCGTGGCAAAGTTCGCCGGCGTCCCTGGCACCCATGTCCCATAGGAGCTCAACCAAAGGTCCCAGTGACATAGTTCAAATGCGTCCCCGGCATTCAATGTCGGCACACCCCTCACACGGTTCGTGGCCCTATGGGGAGCTCCACCGAAGGCCGCAGGGGGTGCGTCCACATGCGTCCAGGAACTCCTGTCGGCTCACCCCTCACACGGTTCGTGGCCCCACATGAAGCTCCACCGAAGGCCCCAGGGGGTGCGTCCACATGCGTCCCAGGCACTCATTTCGGCACACCCCTCACACGGTTCGTCTCATCTCCTGCGCGGTACCCGCAGTTGCATATGGTTGGGTCCTTCGCCAGGCTATTTGTTTGTTGTTGTCCTCCTCGTCATCCTCCTCCTGCTCCTCATCATCCTCCCTCTCCTTCTCCTCCTTCTCCTCCTTCTCCTCCTCCTCCTCCTTCTCCTCCGCATTGTTGTTCGCTTCTTTCTCCTCCTTCTTCTCCTTAATCTCCGGCGGTTCCCGCGTGCTTACAGAGGGTTCCAGAGGTCCCCGCAGGCTTCTGCAGGAAAAAAGCAAGGTCAAAAAGGCATGCAGAACATATCAGCCTGGATCATGGTGGCCCCAGCGAACCAGCCACCCCTTTGGCTTCGAAGCCCCTCTCGAGAGGTCGCCGATGCAGCGGCTCCCCACAGGGAGGTGAGGAACACAGCCCTACCGTTTGCGGACGAAGTCCGTCTTTATTCTTATCTTGCACAGCTGTGTTCTAGAGCTCGGAGCCCTTCATTGTCCTGGCTCTTCTTCCCCCCTTGGCCTTCCTGCGGGCTCCCTGGCCTCGCCCCGGGGCCCTTTCTGGGGCTCGCCCTGCCCCCCCCCCCCCCCCCCCGGCCTCCCTCGGGGGCCCCCTGGCCTCCATCCTTGTGCGAGTGCCAGGGCTTGCGTGCCACTCGTTTTTCCGCGATGCCACGGAGTCTGTCTGGTCTGGCCAGAAGCTCCACGGGAGCCCAAACGCTGCGACGAGGGCGCGCCATGACCCACGACCCGGCCGCCTGGAAGCCTCCGGACCGCCCCCGGGGGCCAGAGGCTCAACGGAGGCTCCGCCGAAAAAGGCAACGGGCATCCCCCAAAGCACAAGAAGATGCAATTTGCCACATCTGCGTCTCCAGAGCTCTCGACCCGCTTCTCGCTACGACGGAGGCGAGTACGGGAAGAGCGGGGACGAAGACTGACAGCAGTTCCTGCCCGCCTTTGCGCAGGACTCGCTGTCGGTGCCGCCACGGGCCCGTCCGTTTCAGACAGACAGGCAGCAGGAGGAGGAGAAGGAGGAGGGAGGAGGAGAGAGTATGAGGAAGAGGAGTAGGAATATGATGATGATGATGATGAGGAGGAGGAGGAGGAGGAGGAGGAGGAGGAGGAGGAGGAGGGAGGAGGGAGGAGGGAGGAGGAGGGAGGAGGAGGAGAACGCGGACGAGGAGGAGAGGAGGAGGAGGAGGAGGAGAGGAAGGAGGAGGGAGGAAGGAGGAGGGAGGAGGGGAGGAGCCCCTCCAGCTGACTGGCCACCAGCAGACCCACCACCCAGCACGACCACCACGTGCACGGCCGCCCAGCAGCACGACCACCGCCAGTACGGCCACCATTACGACCACCCAGCACGACCCCCACGACCATGACCGCCCCCCGCCCCCCGTCCCCCTCCCCCCCCCCCGCCCTTCCCCTGCCCTCTCCTGCCTCCCTTACCCCGCCGGGCCGCCCCTGCTGCGGCCAGTCCTCCTCCTCCTCTTTCTACAGAGCGCCAGCTAATTAACCGGCTTCTCGGTTAGTCCCCGCTGGACGGACCTCTTTCCGGCATCACCGTCGGTCCCCCTGAGGCGCAGGGGGTGCCGGTCCCACTCGGGAGCCGGCGGCGCGAGACGGGAGGGGAGGAGGATGGCGGGGAGGAGGGAGGAAGGAGGAGGCAGGAGGAGGAGGACGGGAGGGGAGGAGGAGGGAGGAGGAGGGGAGGGAGGAGGAAGGGAGGGAGGAGGAGGGAAGGAGGGAAGGAAGGGAGGAGGGAGGAGGGGGGGGGGAGGAGGGAGGAGGCAGCGAGGGAGGAGGCAGCGGGGGAGGAGGCCCCCCCCGGCGAGCCCCGCGCCCTCCAGGAGGAGGAGCGGCGCGGCCCCGCCGCGGGGGCGGCCGCCGCCTCCGGGGAGCCGCGCGGCTCCCGCGAGGGCGACCGCCGCGCGGCCGAGAGGCCGCGGCCCGCCTCCCGAGGGACGACGACGACGACGGCGACGGCGACGACGGCGACGGCGACTGCGGCGACGGCGACGGCGACGGCGACGGCGACGGCGACGGCGACGGCGACGAGGGCGACGACGACGAGGGCGACGGCGACGGCGACGGCGACGGCGCGGTGGCCCGCCTCGGCTTATCCTCCCGCTCCGCTTTCTCGTCGTTTTCCTCCTCTGATATCCCTTTTCTGCACCCCCCTGGCGACGCCGCAGAGGGGGGATTCTGGAGGCCTTCTGAATGTTCCTGGTTGTTGTTTGGAGATTCCTGGAGGTGTCGAGAGTCTCCTGCGGAGTGGGGAGCCCAGAAAAGGAGCAATAGCGCCCGCTGTTGCTTCCCCAGTTCGGCTTGCCAAGGTCTTGTGTTCTGCAAGCAGCGCTTGCACATGGGGGTTCTTACTTGGCACGGGCAGGGATGGGAAAGAAGTCGCGATTTCTCGTCCTCGCCCTGGTGCCTTATGCGTGGTGCTCCTTGGCTTGCGCCCTATGATGCTTTAAATGTTTCGATGTGCCATTATTGCCGTTGTGCTCTATGGCTGGCGCCCTAATTATGATGCCGTCATGGTGATGCTTCATCATTATTGCCGTGGTGCGCTACGGGTGGTGGTGCTCTCGAGCTGGCGCTCTATGGTGCCATCATGGGTCCGAGGTCTTCTTCGTGGTTTGATGCCCCATGGCTGGTGCTCTGTGCATGCACCCAGGGTCTTTGGGAACCCACCGACATGTTGGGGCACCTTGGGGAGGTTAGAGATAGACGACGGCTTTCCTGATCTCTTGTGCCAAAATGCCGCATCCAATGTGCCAACAGCAGTTGAGCATACCTATGCGACCACCCTTCGGGTGATAAGGAGGTGGGGGGGAGGAGGAACCAACGTGTCACTCAATACATCTCGCGATCGATCCCACTATCGATATCACTATCGATATCACTCGATCGATCTCACTATCGATCTCACTATCGATGTCACAATCGGTCTCACAACCGATCTCATTATCGATCTGATTCAGTCGATCTCACTATCGATATCACTATCGATCTCACATTCCGTTTCACAATCGATCGTTTTTTCGGTCTCACATTCGGTCTCACTATCGATCTCACTATCGATCTCACCATCGATCTCACATTCGGTCGCATACTCGATCTCACTATCGACCGCACTATCGATCTCACTATCGATCTCACTATTGATCTCACAATCGATCTTACCATCGACCCCACAATCGATCCCACTATCGATGTCACTATCGATCTCACTATCGATCCAACATTCGGTCTCACATTCGGTCTCACAGTCGATCTCACTATCGATCTCACCATCGATCTCACTATCGATCCCACTATCAGACTATGGATCTCACAATATGTATCACTATCGATCTCACTATCGATATCACATTCGGTGTCACTATCGATCTCACTATCAATATCACAATTTATCTCACAATCGATCTCACGTTCGGTCTCACTATCGATCTCACTATCGATCTCACTATCGATATCACTATTGATCTCACGATCGGTCTCACAGTCGATCTCACTATCGATCTCACTATCGATATCACTATTGATCTCACGATCGGTCTCACAGTCGATCTCACTATCGATCTCACGACAGGACACCGACGGGACAACGGCGGGCAACCGACGGGACAATGCGGGCCACCGCTTGACAACATTGGGGGGGAAACATTTGTGTTGGCGGACCCCTAGCGACAGCAGAGTGAATTCCTCTCGCCAGCCCACGCAGCTTCGCCTCGCCCGCACGCACGGCACGAACACGAAACAGAAGCCGATTTCCCGGTGGGGGGCTCTCCGTTCCACTTCGATCTCACCCCCTCACCTCCGATAGTTTACACCATTGAGGGCACACCAAGGTATTGTGTGGGGGGTCCACGCTGTCAGTCGTTTATCTTGTGACGTGAAACGCTGTCTGGGCGCGCATAGCACCTCGGGACACGGGGCCCCTAAGTTTGGACTGTGCTGTGCGATGCTGGGCCAACCCGTAGCAGGCTGTATGGTGCTACGTAGTGGTGAGCTGTGCAATGCAAGCCGCTGATATGCAATGCCGTGCTGCGCAACGCTGCACCATGCCATACCATGCCACGGTACTCTGTGCTATGCCACCCGCTGCTGCACCGCGCTGTTCCAGAATGCTACGCCCTGCAGCGCTACGCAAGGCTATGCCGTTCCATGCTGTGCCATCCAATGCCGCAGTATGCCATGCGGCGCCTTGCTATGCTTTGCCGCGCTCCCGCGCTGCACCGCCAGTTGCGTGGAGTGGCGCCCGCTTGCGCCGCACCTCCGCACATGGCACTGCACGGGCGGGCCTCCAGCCTGCGCAGCACCCCCCGATGTGGGGACTGCGCCTCGCGACGCCCAGATCTGACATGGCGGGGGGGGTGGGACGGCGCGGGAGGCGCCTGCCACCTCGATCGGGGAAGCGTAAGACTCGAGTAAGCCGGAACTCGGGTTTGCCGACATTTTTTGACGAGCGGTCCTGGATTTTGACGGTCCAGCTTTCGTGGGATGTTTGCAGCGGGAGCTCGCGTCAAATTTCAGATTGGGTCTCGTCATTTTTATGGTGGCCCCGTCAGGCCAACTCGAGTCCCCCGTGCCCGAGTCTTACGTCTCCCCGACTCAACTGCCGCCCCCCCCCCCCCTCGGGAGCTCGGGAGGGGGTGGAGGGAGGACGGGGGGGGGGTAGGGGGGGTGCAGGGGCGAGGGAGGGAGGAGGGCGGAGGAGGGGGGGAGGGAGGGGGAGGGAAGGGAGGAGGAGGAGGAGGAGGAGGAGGAAAGAGGAGGAAGGAGGAGGACGGAGGAGGACGGAGGAGGGGGAGGAGGGAGGAGGAGGATGGAGGAGGATGGAGGAGGAGGGAGGAGAAGGGAGGAGGAGGGAGGAGGGGGGAGGGGGAGGAGGGGGTGAGGGACGGGGGAAAAGGGAGGAAGAGGGGCAGGGCGGAGGACGAGGAGGAGGAGGCCTCTTCGCCCTCGTGCTGCCAGCCGGGCCGTCGTCGCCGTCGACTCTCTCTCTTTGCTGTCCTGGGCCTCGTCGCCGCGCCCCCCGACCCTCGGAGGGGCCCTCGCTGGCCGGTAGTCCGAGCCAGGTCCAGCGGTGACGGGAACCCGCAGGAAGACCCAAAGGCGTCGATGTTGTCGTCGTCGTTCCTCGTCGTCGACGCCGTCGTCGTCGTCATCGTCGCCTTCGTCAGTGCCGTCTTCGCCTTCGCCGTCGTCGGCCTCCTTGATTTCTTCGTCGTCGTCGGGCTCGTCATCGGCGTACGTTGTCGTATTCGTCGTCGTCGGCCTCGTCGTCGTTGTATTCTTCGTCGTCGTCGTCGTTGTCGACGGCTCCCCGACGCAGGCGCGGCTCCGAGGAGAGCTGGCCCCGCGGCGGCGGCGGCCGCCGCGCCGGAGGCGCACCCAGGGGGCCAGGGGGGAGAGAGGCAGCTCAGGGGCAACGGTAATTTCGGCTACGCGTAAGAGTGACCTTTGGCTGGAGTGCCCTTGGGTGCGGGCCCACTCGGGCCCCCCGATCGCTGAGTGCGATGCGATACCAGCGGCTCGCGCGTCGGGTGGCGTCCTTGAAGGGACCCCCTAGGGCCGCGCACGACAGGTCACCCGTGCCTAGGGCCACTCTTGCTTGTTGTAAAAATAATGTCGCGTAAACGTTAGAGTCGAGTTCGCCGAACGTCGAGTTGGCCGACGTTTTTCCCCAGTAGCGCTTCGCGAGTTCAAAGATGCCTCTGGCCAGAATCTCCACAGGCGGGACTGGAGGGAGGCGCCTCACCGGTCTGGCGGCGGTCCAGAATCCACGGTTCTGGTTGGATGTAGTCCGGAAATGAGGCTCCTTTTTGTGTTCTGGCTTGCTTTGCAGCCCTCCCAGTCCCAGAAGTGAGACTCACTATCGCGTTCTGGCGCGATTTGCTCCAGAAGTGAGACTCACTACCTCTTGGGGCCCTCTTGGGGCACCATCGGGAGCCTCGGGGGCCATCTTGGGGCCATGATGGAGGGGGTCGATCAAAGGAGGGGGGCTCCTTAATTTGGGTCTCCCCCCAGGAGGCCAAAGTGCGGCCCAAACCTTCATACAATCAATCATGTTGGCCTTCTCGCGGAGGCCTCCTGGGATGTCTTGGGTGCCTCTGGGGGGCCTTGGGTCCTCTTGGGGGTCTCTTCCTCATGGCGGTCTCTTGGGGGCCTCTTGGGTGGCTTTCGAGGCCTGGGCACCTCTTGGGACCGTCTTGGGGCACCCTTGGAAGCCTCGGGCGCCATCCTGGGGCCGTCTTGGAGGAAATCGATCAAAGGAGGGTAGCTCCTCAATTACCCCCAGGGGGACAATGTTGCCAACACGTTGGTCAAATCAATGATTTTGGCATCTCGCCGAGGCCATCTTGGACGCTCCAACCCCTTGCGAAACCCCCCTCCAGGTCCAGGGGCAGGGGGTAGGGCGAGGGGTCAAGCTACCCTCCTGAAAAGCAGGCCGTTTATCTCACTCCCACCCGCCCTCCCAATACATAAGTACCACCCGAGTGTCAGCAGATCGCTTAGGAACACCACGCGTGCCATGCGCGCCACGGGTTCCAGGTGCACCAGACACGCTGGAGGCCCAAGCGTGCCAGGTGCGGCACATGCTCCACGTGCGCCAGCTGTGCCACGTGCTCTGGCCGCCCCGGCCCCAGGGAGCTCATGATCTCGAATCCTTCGAAGCGAAGTGCCCAGCATTCCGTGTGAAGGGCGGCACGTCCATGGAGCGCAAAGCACTGGCACCGATGGACACAGTGTGACCCCTTCAGGAATAGTGAAACAGATGAGAGCACAGAGAATAGAGGGCCCTGTGCATGCTTCAGATTTGGAGCCAAAGTGTAAGTTTGCTTTGTTTTGTGACTGGGATGGATGGTCGGCCTGCGCGCAGCAAGCAATATGCCGGCACCCCCGCCGTGCCTACCAAAAAAATGCAAAGTG